TGATTTGGCTTTATAATTTGTTTGATTCGGATGAAAGGAATTTCATAAAATTACATAATTTATTTCACGCATTCCTGAATATGAATGATTTTCCATTAATTCTATATAGATTAATTTTATCATAATTTAGTTCTTTTTTTTTTTACCAGATATGAAATCCGTGAACGTTATCATAGTGATAGGAATGTAAAATGCATATTTTTTCCTCCTTATTTTATGCGCTTGTATGTTTATTTTGTGTCAAAATGTACTCATTACGCTCATATTTTGATTTAGGTGGCAATTCTATGGATATGGTGTAATTTGGAAGAAATATGTGAAAAATGACCAAAATGGAAGAAAGTGAAAGTTCAAGGACTAAAGTGCAAATATTCTAAACTTATTTCTAACCTTTTGATGAAGATTCAAGATTGTTAGAGGTCAATTTGATGAAGAAAGGATTCAAAGGGATGAAATATGACCAAGATATTTTCACATATCAACTTTCAAGTTGAAAAGTTTTGTATCGATTTTCAGCCTCATATTGAGACCAATTTTGGACATGGGAAACGATCGAATTTGAAGATAGTCTCTGAATCAAAGTTTTAACCCTTTGAGTTAGCTTTACAAAGCATCTTGAATCGCTTTAGTCGGATATTGGAAGAAGAAGTTATGGCCAAAATACTGAAAGCTATCCGGAGGAAGTTTCGTAAAATCATGCGACCGCAAGCCTTTAATTTCATGCAGCCGCACAGACCATTCCCGAGGTTTAAAGTGTTGATTTCACTTGTTCCTTGTGGATGCAAGCCTCTAAACCATACGACCGCATGGTTCATTTTCGGGACGAAAATTCTGATTTCCTAATTTCAATCAAACATTTATGGAAACAAATCTTTCTACACTTTATAAACTCTAGAACAAAATCAGAACATGGAAAAACGCCTCCCAACTCTATTCTTCTCTATTTTTCTCTTATATTCATGAATTGTAAATAAATTTTTACACTTGGTCGAAGGAGATTGAAGCCTCGGAACCACATCTAAATTGTTTTTCTTAATTTAATTCATATTTTTGAGTAATGAATATTTTTCTGCACTTATTTCTATGATTGTTATGTTTAATTACTAGGAGGCCTACTAGTTTATTATTCGTTGCAATCTACCGCTGAGTTAAATATCAATCCGTAATTGTTTGATCCCTTTAACTTGTGAAGCACTAGGATTTGATGATTTTCTGTGATAGAGGTTATTGAATCTTAAGAAGAATGTTTAAATAGATTGAATGCAACCGCTGATGTTTGTGTTATTTAGTTCATTGATTTCTCTATTATTTAAAGCTGTTATTAAATTGAATCTTGAGTGCTGGTCTGAGATTATTTAATAATTAGGGTTAATTAGAACGCTGGTTTCTAACTAAGTAAAATTAAGGAGAAATAGAAAAATTATTCCAACGGTGAATATTCAAGATATGAATTGAATTATCCTTACATCTATGATCAGTTGTGAATTTTCGAAAGTGGATATTGACTTGGACCAATGTTAGTCTTTTGATTGTTTTCGTTAATTTAGTTTTCATTGTTATTAATTGCGTTATTTACAATTGTTTGCATACAAACCCCTCTATCATTGTACGAAGCATAAACTATTGAATTACACACTCTTCGTGGGATCGACCCTTATTTCCACTACTCCATTAGTTTTAGAGGTTTAAGGACTATTTTTGGGAGTCTACGGCAGCACACCACATAGCGTGCAATGCAATGACCTTTGGCATTCTATTACCAACTTTGGGCAGATTCCATCGTTTAGGCCTTCGATTAAACATTTTTTTCGTTTATGGTAATTTTTATTTTGGTAATATCTCATTCAATAAAACTCGAATTCGTATTCCGTTTGTTGGAAAACGATGCTCAATCTTAATAGTTTCAATTTAAGTTGTTATCTCGAATTTTTCCATTTATGGAAAAATATCATTTTTTTATTTTTATTATTTATTTTTCGAATTTTGATAGGATTTTACTATTTAAAGCATTGTAAGCCCTTTGAGACCGCAGTTTATTGAATGGAATAAAATTTCTCATGAATTTTTTCATCTTTGTGAGATTGATCTTCTTTCCTATTATTTTCGCTACGTCAGGTTTCATATCTCCTTCACATAATGTTTTGCTTTCTGCCTTGTCTATTGTTGCTAGGATTATTCCATATGTAAATGTTGTCCAGACGCAGGTATTAACCAACTCTTGTTCTTAACCTTCAATAGAAAACTTCCTTTCGAGCAAATTAATTTGTTATGTGGTATGTTCACTGTTCCTATGGTAGGCCATCAACCGTCTACTATATTTCACAACCAACTCTTTTTTGCTCATTTCATATAAACAATGTGTACACTAGGCCATTTTGTCTTCTAGTAGTTTTGATGGTCTACATACTTACCAGTCATTGTGTATAGTATTTTCCTTAGGTGGAGAGGTGTGTGCTTGCCGATGATGCCAAAAATGCATTCCTTCATCATTGTTTTTGACATATTAACGATCCATATATGTTCAGTTTTGATACAATGCTTATAATAAGTTTGAAACACATACCACCTCTAGGAAACCAAAAACTGTACAAATCTCCAAAGTTACATTCCGAAACTAATTAGTGGGATGTGAAAATGCCAAGGGTGTGGTTTCAAGTATCCATAAATACATGTATCATGCAAGATGATTGGTAATTACATTTTTGAAGAAAGAAGCATTTCCGAGTTACTTATGTTGTTACCTTTGTCATTTTATGCCCCTCTTATATAATTAAGGTGTGTTTAAGAATAGATCAACTTGTCCTTGGACTTTTCCTTTAAAAAAAAATCTTATTTTGAGAGTTTGACGGCTTCTCTCATGTATTAGAGTTCTTTTATGATGAGTTTATTTTTCATAACGAATTTTTCAAGGACTCATGATCGTTAAATGATATTAATTGGTTTCTATTTTAGTTAAACATGCATTACACTTGTCTATTTTAGTTTCATGAATTTAGAATTTTGAAATAATGTGTTGCTAATTAATATGTACCTACTGAAGTGTGGTTCGTGTTGTAGAATTAAATTGAGGGGATGAATTCGTGTGATTGGAAGTCCAATCAATACCTATGTAGTCTTGAGTTGAAGAGATTGATTATTTTTTCTCCTCTTAAGTCAGGTAATTATTTTTCTCATAATCTTGAGTTGAATCGAGTGTTGAAAATAGGCACTTTTTATTATGACACATTCTTCCAATTCACCTATTAATTTGTTATAATATATTTCGTTATTAAATGAAATTAAGTGATTATCATATCCCCAAATCAGAATCCCATCTCCTGCCATAAATGTGAGATAGCTTTCACTTTTCATGGATCATTTCATAATCAGCGCTTGTTTAATTAAGTTTATTTTCTGTGAATTATTGATAAATAGTTATGAAAAATGGTAAAAAATAATTTTTTCGAGAACGAGTGGTTGATGATGAGTATATATCTTCATAACAATATTAATTATTCGGATTTTGGTAATATTAAAAAGAATATAAAAAGTGCAGTAAAGAACATCTATCTTTTGTACAAAAAAGCATTTGGGAAGGAGTGGTGTGGTTGTGGAATAAAGTTCCATGTATTTATTATAATTTAAAATAAATTTATTTTTCATATTTTTTTAATTACACATTCTTTAAAAATTTATTATTTTAAAATCTATTTTCATTTAATAATGGTAAACAAACGGTTGTTTAATAATTTATATTAGGTAGTGATAATGAAGTATGTGGGGCTGCAAGGTTGTCTTGGCACAATCAACTACTAGAAATTGCTATGCGTAAGGATAACCAAGTAGGTTATAGGGTTACACGTATCCACTTTTTCTTTTTTTCTTTTTATTTATTTATTTATCAATTTGCTTGACCTCACCTCACCAATATAAAAATAAATATATAAATATATTGTGATGGTCCACGGAGACTTGTTTGACACTTATCGATTAAGAAAAAGGGTATTGCCCAAGGAAGCGCGTTTGGTAAGAGTAATCCAATTTTTATTTGGACTTTATTACGAGGAGTTCTTGTAGGAATGGTTTAGCTTATAAGTAATTTTTATAATCATCAGATCACTTATTCTTTAATTGATTGTTTATGTGCAGTTGGTAAGTCCAGGGGCATGGCTATGCGATCTGACCCTAGAAAGATACGAGGTTAGAGAGAAGAAGGTCTCAAAGAAGGTACGACTCAATTTTATTTTTACTTTTAAATTATAATAATTTGGTTGAACTTTGGCATAAGTAACAATTTATTTATTTCAGAGACCAAGAGGGTTGAAGGCAATGGGAAACATGGAGTCCGACTCGGAGTAGAGGAATTTGGAGGAAATTTGTGCATGTTAAATTACACAAACTGGTGTATTTTGTATTTCTTTGACTCCATTTTCAATTTTTTTATCAATTTCTAGAAATTTAATAAATAATTATGCTGCATTTTGATTAAAAAAAACCCCCCGAGATAAACAAAAGAAATTACAAAGAATTAATTTGAAATTAACATCTTTGGTAGCCATTTTCAGCGAGAGAGAAAAATTATCGTTAAAGAATATTTGTGGGTCCCATCTGTGAGAGGAAGTCAAAAAAGACGGTGGCTAAAAATAATGAATTTTAATTTTTTGGTCTGAAAAATATGACTACCAAACAGGCTGAATAAAAATTTCAACTCGAACAGTTCTCTGAAGCTCAATTCAAATTGTGCTATTTTACAGCTGGAGATAGAAAGGAATAAAATAATCCATTCATTTTCTTCTTTTACCTTTAATTCCTCGGCTGACCGGTTTAATTTGCATAGCAATGAAAGTTTATATTTTGGCAAAATAAAAATAAACCTTCTATCTAATATGGAACAAAATTCATTATTTTACTATGTATTTATGGTTTTAAGTTGAGCTACATTACATGTCCTGTACATGTAAAGGAAAAAAAAGGGAGGCTACAAATCAGAGTAGAATCGTTCACATCATACTTCTGTTCATTTAAAAACCTAAGTACTTGGGGGCTAACAAGAACAACGGTTCCAAGGCACTCGGAGCAAATTTCCTCGCAAAAAGATAACAATTAGACGATTGCTGATCATTATACGAGCAGTTGTGACCTACAAAAATTCTCTTCATGAATTCTTCTGTAATATCTACTCTTCCAAATGTGCCTGGGTGAGCTCCGCCCCTCGACCAGTCCACCCAAGTGATACTTCTATTTGCCAGATGTTTTCCGGCTTCAACTGTTAACATAGTTGGAAAATAGTGTTCGTCCACATAACATGCTGGCTTGCAGAATTCAGCAAATTTTGGATAGTATTTCGTGTCTTCTACAATAAATAGAGCAAGATTTCTGTTGATTTCAAACCACTGAGATCCCTTCCGCCACTGGCTGATGTTAACTTCGGGTAACATTTTCTCACTGTAGCGTCCTCTCCCATGAGGTCCCAGATCATCAAATGCACCAAGAAAGCTATATTTGGATTGCTTTATATAGTTGTACACGGTGCTGAAGTTGTACAGAGGAATGCACGATTCAGAAAGAAGAACAAACCATTCGTTGGAAATATCGAGCAAGGCATTAGCAATAAGTCGTCTCTCAGCATCACACATGCTCATCTTTCCCCATTCTGCGACCTGTTCAGGATGTGATCATCAGAAACTCTGTCTCATGCCTATGAATTCGAGATTATTTTAGCTCGAAGCATATGCCTATGTAAGAATACCATGTCCAAATAAAATCTTAGCTCTTATAAGCATTCACGAATTAGTTCAACTTCGCAAGACATTTGATAGACTCAACTATCCATTTGATTCGAGACAATGATAATGCAAGAGTAACACAACCCATTGTTAACCAGATTTTCTGATAAATAACCAGGCAAAAGGTTTCTTTTCATCGGAGTCAACTTCAGGAAATCTAATCTACCTTAGAATGACAAACCCTTGCTCCAAACAAAAACAAAAGATGATGGAACTATAAACTTGGGAGTCACATCCTCCTGAAAATCCGCCGAATAATTATTGCCAATTGACCAAAGTGATAAACAATAATTTTCCACTAAAGACATTCCTTAGTTACATCATCATGACACTATAGAAGTCATATTTGGTACCTAATACGGTCCTGAGATCAGATAAGCCTTTGGGTAAACCTCGGAAATCTTAATAACAGGTGATAAACTTACAACTATATGACTACAACTAAATTTACATACTCAAGAGCATGGAATTCGTGTAAATTGACAAAATCTAATATTTTTTTGCAGTTAATTGATAAAAGAACTAACCTGACTTGGTATTTGTCTCCTGTAGAAAACCGACGAGGATGGAAATTCAGCCTGAAACGACGGCGACGAATGCATGTAGATCGAATACAGCCCCTCGTGCCCCTTAAAAAACCTCTCCCAAAGAGGTGCTAATGGCAATGGCCCTTTAGTCAAGAACATAAAGGCAATCTTAGGGATCCTCTCAAATGGATAATTCTTTATCCGGGGCGTCAATGAAGCCCTCCAAAACAACTCCTCATCACTCATTGTGTGCATCAAATTCAATGGGGGCTTGATCCAATGCTCTAAATTATTCACTTCTTGAATGCAGGGTTGTAAAGAAGGCACAAAACTAGTGACTCCAAAACGCCTAATTGTATACACACTAATTACAGAGAAGACAAAACACAAAACCAGAAAAAGTACAAGCAATTGAAGTAGCCTCTGAGGCAGAACCCTAGATTGGCTTGTCCTGCTTATTACAGTAGAATCTTTACCTTCTTCCATAAGTATAACCCTCGATGCAAAAAGGAAAAAAAAAAAAAACTACATCAAACAAAAATTTCTTCTTTACCTAATTCCCAGCATATCAAATCAAATAGATCCAAAAAATTTCAGTACTCATAAAGAAAACCAATCCCAGAATTTCCTTGATCGCACTAAACAATCAGATACTTTGAATGATCTTGAATTTTCACGAATTTTCCAGAGCCTTGAGTATGCACCTACTTTCCCAAAATACTAAGCCCCAGAATTTTGAATTTTTTTAGTAGGCCGATTAAAGGAGATTAAAGAAAAATCAAGAAATCGAGTGTTTTCTTTGCTGAGGTAACAAGTTACACCTCAAGACTTCGTACAAGCTAACAAGAATATTCCAGAGAGATCGGGGATAAATATGTTGTACTAAAAAAGGATATTTTAAAAGTGTTTTAACTAACTCAAAAGTGCGATGGGTTTGATTTGGGAAGAGGGAATAACTGTTGGGTGGTTTCTTTGAGTTAGTCTTCTCTTCTAAACTTGCGCCAGATATTGGGCAATATAGATACGTATATCGAGAGAAAGAATTCCAGTAAAGTGGAAAAATCTAGAGAGAAGAGGGGGGGTGTTTTAAGAGTCTTTTTCACGTAAGAATGTCGTGCTCACTCAATGATGGAGGAAGATGTTGTAATTAACGTTGCCACTGGCGGCTTTTGTTTGTTGCCACCAAAAGATTCGGTGTCTTTTAACGGGACTTCTTTGTCAATGCTACTAAGGCGATTTTCTTCAGAAAAAAAAAAGGTATATTGTTTTGAATAATGAAATTTTAAAAAATATATGATTGAAAAATAGGGAAAAATTTATAAAAATATATTGTTTTGAATAATGAAATTTTTAAAAATACATGATTAAAAAATAGGGAAAAATTTTGAATTTACGTATAGAATATTTTAGGAATAATTGTAACAGCGGTACCAAATCTTTCATTTAGTAGCAGACTTTGTACAAACCTTTCATTTGTGTCATCCATGGTACCAAACATTTCAAAATGTTGCAGTTGAAATCCAAATGGACGGTTTTTGTTAGTTTGACCGTTAGTTGACCAAAAAATTGACTTTGACAATAATTTTTACTAATTTTAAAATGTTAAAATTGTAACTTTGCATTTTTGTTATAATAAAATAACTAAAATTAAATCACTAAAATTAAAAACCCCAAACCGACCCGACCCGACTCGACTCGACCCCATCCCATCACTTTTTGGGCCTGAAAACCAGCACAACCATGCTGGCAATTACAACAAGCTTTGGCACCTCGAAAGGCAGTTACACAAAAGCCCCTTCACTCGCAATGGCTCCTCTGGATCGATTCACAACCAATTGAAGACACAGTAGTAAATCTCGTAGTAGGTGTAAGATTGAGTTTTGTAGAAATTACGAGAGATGAAATGGTCGTCATTTGTGCAGAAAACAACCTTTAATTTTGTAAAATTGATTTCAGAAAGTGGAATTCGTTCTCTTGGTTGGTGGTGAGTAGATATATAATTATTGATTACGGTGGAGGAGAAGCAGTGATGGCGGTGGAGGAGATGGTAGTTGTGGCAACTTTTTGGGCTCGAAAACAAGCGCAACCATGCCAACGATTACAATAACTTCCGGCACTCTGAGCCCAAAAAGGCAGTTATACGAAAACCCCATTTTCTCACTCTTACTAGCTCTTCTAGACCGATTCACAACCAAGTGAAGACAAGCCCGGTTATTAACATGGTCGTCAAAAAACATTGAGTTGGATGAAGATAACACAGTAGTAAATCTCGTAGTAGGTGTAAGATTGATCTTTGTAGCAATAACGAGAGACAAAATGGTCTCCATTTGTGCAGAAAACTACCTTTAGAGCTTGTTTGGGAATGATTAAAATCCAATTAAAATTGAAAATATAGTCGTTATTAGGTCCCACTCGTCTAATAAAAGTCAACTCCAACGGTTATATTTTCAATTTTAATCTGATTTTAATCCCTCCCAAACAAGCTCTTAATTTGTAAAATTGATTTCAGAAAGTGAAATTTGTTTGCTTGGTTGGTGGTGGGTAGATGTTTAGTTATTGATTACGGTGAATGAGATGGCATTGATGAGGGTGGAGGAGATGGTAGTGGTGGTGGGTATGTGTGGAATGGATGGAGAAGATGAAGTTGATTTTTGATTTTAATGATTTGATTTGATTTATTTTTATTATAAAAAAATGTAACGATACCATTGAAACCTTTTAAATTAGTCAAAATTATTGTCAAGGTCAATTATTTGGTTAAACTGTCCATTTGGATTTCAGCTGCGACATTTTAAAAAATTTGGTGCCGTGGGTGGCACAAATAAAATGTTTGGGCAAAGTCTACTACTAAACGAAAGGTTTGGTACCGCTACTACAATTATCCCAATATTTTATTCTGTAAATATATAATTGAAAATGAATATGTAAAAAAATGTTTATTGAAAAAATGGAAGACAAACATGGGTTTAATGACATGTAGATTGGTATTGAAATATTATTGGTAATAGATGGCATTATTCTACGATGATGGAGTCCATATTAATTTTTCTACTAAGATTTTTATACTTCAAAGCTCTAATAATGTGTCAATAATGGAGGAACGGTCAAAGAGATTGTAGAGTTAGTCCATGTTTGACAATCATTATTTCGAAACTCTTTATTTCACGTACTCATTTTCAATTACACATTCATGCAATAAAATATTTTGTACATAAACCCAAAATTTTTTTCTACTTTTTAAACACACATTATATGAAAATTCACTATTTAAAATTTTATAGTGCGGAAATGAATAATGTTACATGTACATAAATGTTGACACAATGGTTTACTACGTGAGTTGTCAGATTTTTGGTACATTGATGTACACTTTGTGTGTACAAATAGTTGAATCCTACGAAAATATATATCATTGAATGATAGTAAATCACGTATATTTGTAAGAATAATGCTACTTGAACAAGGGCTTTTGTCAGGATTTGTCCGCACCTGCATGGATTATTTTTTTTGTTTTCTAACTGTCCAATGAACAAATGACACGAAAAGCACCTGCATGGATGCTTTATTATTATTATTATTTTATTTTATTTTATGTTTTCAACTGTCCAATGAACAAATAACGTGTTCTTCTATTTGAAATCTTTTCGTTTAGTCTGTTCATGTAGCATGATATTTGTACTATATATCCTTAACATTACTCAAACCTAGTAATACTATTACGTTACATTATTCTTGTCTAATTGTCTGATTTTGTCTTTTTGCCAATGGCGTAAGCGTACACGGTGTTCGAAGTGTAAATTACTATGCCATTCTGGTTACAACTCTTATCATTGTTAGTTAATTTTATTAGTTTGTTTTGTCCATTGGATTTTAGTTCTACAAGGCCACTGGTTTATAGTAAGTTATAAATAGTTTGCTAGGATCATATTACTTTCCTAATGTTAATATCAATTGTCCATGTAACAAGAGACACATTATTTCTATTTAATCTATTCATTTTGGGAAAAATTACACTATTGTTGATCGAAAAATAACGCTTAATCAATTAATTTGATAATGTGACTGATAAATTAGTTATATTCTGTAAAATTCTTGTGATTGTAACATTTTGTAATTGTGATCATAAACTATATAATATTATGACATTAATATATTTATTTAATTAATAAAATATGTTTAATTATCCATTTAATTAAAGAAATTTGAATCATGACCTGATTTTTGAAACTTTAAAACAAAGTTTCTTACTTTTAAAATTACATCTTATAACAAAAATTTAAACGCTGTATGTTCTTGAGAATATACAACTACCATTCGAGGTTGGGGCAAATGAATAGAACCCATCTCTCTCTCTCTATCTCTATCTCACACACAAAACACGAATTATACAACTATTATTCGAGGTTGGGGTGAATGAATAGAAACCATCTCTCTCTCTCTCTCTCTCTCACACACGATGTCGAGTTCTTTCGTACTTCTATTTTTTTTTTACCCCTCAACTTCACGTCTACCACTCAAAATAATAAATTAGTGCGTACAAAACACATGCAATTGTAAAATAAACCATTACATGCTAAGTTGTAGAATACAAATTGAATATTAGGATACTTCAATGGATCAAGTAACAACTTTTGTTGCTCTCTAAATTGTGAATCTACGACCTTAGTGAACATCAATAATATAATGTTGGGATCCAAATTCGCACATGCAGATTTTGGGTTTGTTTGGTAAGATTTTTGTAAAGTCGAAAGATTTTTCCGATACTAAGAAACTACTTTTATACCTATTTGAATAATTTTGCTGAAAGTGATTTGTCAAGTTACAAGAACTTCTAGAGAGGGCTGGTCTTAGGTGGCTTTTTCAGTAAGCTCCAAGAACCTTGCCAAATGAACCCTCACAGTGACTGAGCCTCAATGTGTGAGCTACGACTATTCGTTGCTGTAGGTTTTCTCAATAATAGAGAATGAGATCAAAGTTTTCCTCCCACCCCTATCATACCTCACAGAAAAATGATCTCAATTCTATATAATGCTGGAAGTTAGGGCGACCTAATACAATAGTATTAATACCCAATATAACAAATCTCCACAAAGTTCAAAACTTAGATTACCAGGATGGCTGCCGTCAATTCCTGATCTAAATCCAAATTTTAGCCCTTACAAAAAGTAGCACAACCGTTTGGATAACATTAAGATACAATAAATATAGTTACAAATTGTTAACAATCAATTAAATCAGGAGGGCAGCATAGTTCTTAAGCCATGAGGCCTACCACTAGTCAAATGCAACTAACTTATTTGAGAAGGCATGAAATTTCAATAATTGTGCAAGTGTACTTGAACAAATAACAAAAGGCACTTTTCCAAAATATATTTAGAAGTTTGCACGCGACTTTGTTCATTAGCTATATTCATTTCAACATAATCCCATAAAGTAGTTATTTTTACCCCGAAACAAGTTAGTCTGACTTCCCACTTTATGTAACAAAGCAAACACGGGTAGAAATGAATGACCTACTTCACAACATTGAATGTAGCACGAAGGTTGGAAATCATGACTGGGCACTCTCCCTTCTCATCATATTCAGCAAACTCTCCTCCCGATAAGTCAATGTCGTTAAATTTCGTCCCTTCAATCTACACAAAAGATAAAAACAGGCGAATAAAACAAAATAAACTAGAAAAGAATCTTAAGCCAGCAATCTAAAGATGTAAGATAGATACAGCACATAACACACATTTACTGATCCTGACTGAATGTGTAAGTGAACATAAAATGGACATAAAATCACATTTATGCAAGTAAACAGTTTTTACTAAGAACAGAATGTAAGGTAAAATGTAAATTAAATTGTAATCTAACACGTATCCCAAATTACGTCAAACCATTTCGAAAACAAAGTGCAGCAGCAATGTGCATGGCATGTTAGCCAAACCTAATTAGGAAGATTTCATGAGTGTAAAAGTGAGCATGAACAGTAACTCTCCTCTACAGGTACTGCGGCAGTCTGGTCATTGCAGCTGTTCTAATTAAATTGGAAATAAATCTCAGAAAGTAAGTGAATGAAACAAATTTGAAAGGTTAGTATGAAGTAACAGCACTGAAACACTATATGACAAACAGAAGAAAATAAAGATTGGAATACAACTTAAGATTCAAATGCAACTTAATTTTCGGAACTCCTTTTTACATAGTTTAGAGCATTTAACAAGGTTACATCTAAATTACAGAAAATACTTACGAATTACTACCCAACGAATCCTGAAAAACGAAAGAGAATCAATCACGCGGAAACTTCAAGTTCCAATAGATGATCTTACAATATCTAAAAGCATAATTGTTTCAGTGATTATTTCACCTCTGTAAAGGTCCAAAGAGGTCAGCAAATTTTTATACCACCTCCTTCCTCCAGAAAAAAGGATCGTTTACTTACCCCTTAAAAGCGAAAGAGTAAAAGGGAAATATATCTGAGGAGCATTTTCAACTGAAAAATCGATAAAGCTGATAATATAATATAATATAATATAATAGCATATTGCAGCTATAAAAATCCATATATCACTCTGGTATGATTACGCGATTGAATAGCAAAAGTATCATCCAACTGTATCATCATGTACTCGAGCAAGCACTTACAGATTCAGCTTTCCACCCACTACCAAATACAAAATCCACAGGCTCAAAACCTCTGAAGTCGAACAACATCAGAGGTGCATACTTTCCAGCCTCAGCATGGTCCTGAGTAAGAGGAGAGCCTCGGCCAGTGATCATAGTAACAGTTCCTTCCCTAGAACAAAATTTACACTGGGAATGCAAAGAGATCAAATAGAATGTTTAGTACTTACAAAATTCATACCAAAAAAAACATGAGGATCCAAAAGTGAACATGAGGATCCAAAAGTGACCAAGTATGGCAAGATAGATCAAATTAAAATTTATTAAACTATTCAAGCTTTTCACACTTAATATTCTTGTGAATATTTACAGGGCCTTCTCTCTCTTCAGCATGTTCCTTGCAGAAAATTATTTGATCTCTAATTTGATCACAAAGTTTGAATCCCAGAATGTGTCGCGTGTGCTCATATATTTAAGCACGCAAAGATAAGCACAAACACCCAAGTATAAAAGGATTTTTAAAAACTAATAGACTGGTTCATGCAAGAGCAAGAGCAAGAGCAGAGGTGTGAAATTATACCTTCTGAGCAAGATGGACATCACTTCTGCCTTTTGCAGAAGGAACAGTTTCATTCAAGCTCACACAAGTCTCTTTCTGCGTTACCTCTCCGCAATTTCCACATTTCAGCTGCACAAATTCAATAAAAATAAAAATGATTAAAGCTCAACATGCACATAAATTTCCTGTAAAAAATGATTGTCAAACCTACTTTAAGTACATTAAGAATGAGATTTGATTCATAAAAATTGCTTCAGATAATCCATATGAAATCTGACTCCTATATAAAAATGAAAATCAGGCCGATAATAAGGACACAACAAAAAGAGGGTGAGAATCAACTTAATGATGTAAGACACATTCAAGGGGAAAAAATAATGGTAGCACAGACAACTACAACGTTTAATTATTTTTTGTCAGTCACAACAAAGAAAAATCATCATCATGTTGTCTACAATTAAATTATGAGCATCCAAGATGAATCCTTCCAAAATAACTAAATGAACCATCTAAAAACACATTGAGCTTCAAATTAGCCGTCAAACTGTAATTTTTTTATGTTGTTGGAGTCAATAAATAACTTGACCTTATCAAGTTAACTTGACAGACATGGTTGAGTCTATAAAGTTAACTTGACAAGGTCAAATTTCGGAGCAATGCCACCTTGTGAAGTTGACATAAGGCGTATGTGTTTCATTATTCTTCTATCATTATTTTCTTCTTTTCTTCCTCCCTCTCTCGTCCTTTTTCTATGTCTGCATATACAAACATCTCAACTCACGAATCAAACTCCATAATCCCTTTCTACCGTCGCTCCCCTCCAATATTGCTTCGGTTAATGGTCGTCTATAATTTCCTTAGAAGTCTAGGGATGCTCATTGAGAAAATCTATTGCTGATTTGCCAAAGTTGCTGCAGATTGTAATGAAAGGCCGACTATTGAAAATTTTCTATCTCTAGATCAGAAGGACAATTTGTCGGTTATGGATTGTTGATTAGTGCAGGGAGACCACTTTTAAGAAAGCAAGTACAAAAACTAAATACAAGGAAGAATAATGAAATGATCTTAATGGAGCCCGACATTGCTAAGTTAAACTTTGTCTAGTGGACATATAGGCACTTGAGAGCTCCCCCCATCCCCCCCCCCCCCCCCCCCCC